GGCATGATGAAGTTGGTTTTTTTTCCCCCCTTTCTCCAACTGTCACCAAATCAAATTTTTTTTTTTTCCCTTTCTCCAACTGTCACCAAATCAAAGTAGCAGGAAACATCACTCTCATCATCGACTCTCACACTCAGGATGGGAGATCTTGCGGCACGTTAAACACAGAATCCGTTTTAATCTCCGCGATAGATAGAGTGTGGCATCGAACTGTGGCCCGATCTCTCGGGCGGGTTACACAACAGTCTTTAATGCATTACCGGGTTTTAAATGTTTTCTAAACCTGATGATCTCTTCAGGTTTCCACACGACACCCTTTGTCTAAGTCTCTCTTCGAAGTCATCCTGCATCAAGGTCTGAAAAAGTGTACAGGGTATAATGTCGGGACAGAAGGATCGGTCAGGTGAGATATGCCAGAGGAAAATGGACAACATGGTGAGAGAAGACCTGAGCAAGAACAGACACGTTTCACATGACTCCGATATTTATATTTCTATTTCTATGTTTGCTGCTTGTATAAGTAGTTCAAACGGAAATTATGACAAGTCGAGACACACAAAGTGATTGGGTGAACGTCTTAATTTTTCTTTAAAGACAGACTCGTTTACACTGCGCAGAGAAACTTTTCAAAGATGTTTGGTTTTTGGTTCATTTTGCTAGCTTTGGAGTTTCAATTTCGCTGGAATTTATTATGTGTAACCGACCCGAGCAGACCTTTTAAGAAGGTAGCGGATGTAAGTAAGACATGTGACCGAGGCAAGCATCTTTACATGAATCAAGTGTGAGTCATAGACAGATGCAGCCCAGATAATCCGGTAATTTTTCAATATAAAACATCATTCAGAATCAGAAAATAAATAAAATGGAAATAAACGGAAATAAACGGAAAGTTATGCATTCTTTCTGTGCAGCCCGGTACCAGGTAATTGATCCACGGACCGGCCCGGGGGTTGGTGACCACTGCCCTAAGGGATAGTTGCCAAAGAATTGATCTTAAATACATATGTATTTTTAATAACTATTCAGTTGCACCACTTGTCAATTCAAGAAAATAAGAAAGAAATTACGCAAGAAAACGTTAAGAAATACGCAAAAACAGTTGTGCAGTTATTCAATAAATGAGACTTGAGTTCAGAACCTGACTGAAAAGATTTGGATTTTGAAACGAAAAAAAAAAAAAAAACTACTGGAAAAGACAAGAATGTCACAAAAAAGCAAACTATTAGAGAGAGTAAAACCAAATAAAGACTAAAGCCTAAACCCAGCTTCTGAAATTGGATCAAAACCACCAACACACAGGAGATGTCAGCACATTCTTTCTCCTATTCACTAATACAGTGTCGACCTAAGAGCCAAAAATTACACTTTCCCACCCAAGTCTCTGAAACTTATTCTGTTTTTGACAATAATAAAAGTATAATTGAACGCAACATCCGACTAAAGGGCGTTTGATTTCTTTTCATTCTTATTATTATGCTCCACACCTACCGCATTTTCCGGACTATAACTCGCACTTTTTTTCCATCCTTTGGCTGGCTGCCACCTATATATTAAAATATATAATATCACGTTTGTTATTTTCACACTGACAGCCACCAGAGGGCACTCTAGGCTTGTGTACCAGTATCTGCTACTACTGTACCACTGGAAATTTAAATGCCGTTATTTTCACACTGACAGCCACCAGAGGGCACTCTAGGCTTGTGTACCAGTATCTGCTACTACTGTACCACTGGAAATTTACATGTTCTTTATCACACTGACAGCCGCTAGAGGGCACTAGTGCGACTTATCCTCTGGAGCTACTTATATATGTTTTTTTCTTCTTCATTATGCATTTTTTTGTCTGGTGCGACTTATAGTCCTGAAAATACAGTGCTAATAAAAAAAAAGTGTGAGCACTGACGTATCCATCCATCTAGTTACCCAACTATCTAGCTATTCATCCATCCAACCATATGTCCAATCTTCATTTATAGATGTGGGATTGCTGAGAAAACTTAAATACTAATACTACTAATAAGTTGTATTATTATTATTATTATTATTATTACCTTTTTCAAGAGCATTTCAGAAAATAAATTCAACACATCATCACTCAGTGTCTAATGACACACTGTGGTCACTGAATCCTCATTATTTCATCATGTCCCTTTTAACTTGCTTGAAAAGCACAAACTGTCAATGTAACTGTCCATACAGGAGAACAACCTGTTCTGATACTTCACCTCTGGAACACAATTGTTCAACAACAGAACTGCAATGTCACCAAAAAGAGATGTAGAAAAATCCAGGTTTCCTCCAGTACTTCAACACTTCTTAAGGACAACTGAGACATGTTCAGATCAAAATTCATGCATCAATGAAGAGGTATGAACTCTTCCCCCTTTAAGACAAACAACCCCTTCCTGGCGTTCTTCAGGTGCACAGCCTCACAGAAGGAGGTGTCGGTTCGTTTCAGTCCGCCTTAGTCTGTGAGTCCGAGCTGTAATTTGGTACAGCAAGTGAGTAAACGTCCTTCTTGACCTTTCTGGGTTCTCCTTTGCTCTCAGACCACCGACCCAAGGACTCCGATTTTAACCACCCTTACAAACATTTCAAGTTTAATCCTGCCAGATGCAGGTTTAAATGACTTTGAGATTAACGTCAAAGGCGAAGCTTGGGCTGTTCATCACCTCCAAGGAATATTTTTTAGATTTATCTTGATAAATCACAATTAATTGTAATTGGAGGAGATGTAAAGGTGAAACAAAGTTCAACAGAGACAGCACTAAACACCATGTAGACGACACAATGTCATACGTCAAAAGTGAAACTGGATTCAAATTGTTGTAAGCAGCTGTTCCTCTAACCATCGCCATGTGTTGTTGGTTTGATTGCTACACAATCTTAATTTGTGCAAACAATGTGCTAGAGGTTCCAAAAAAAAAAAAAAAAAAAGGAAGAAACTGAACTGGACCGATGATGTTTCAAAAGACCTACAGCTACATCAGTGAGCGCTGCTGCAACAATATTCCTTGGAATCAGTTTTCCCACAGACACAGTAATTCCCGTTCGAACAAAGTCTGCCTGTTGTCGACACACCACAAGAGTAACAATGGTATGAATAGAAAGGTTTGTCTATGGATCAATAAATCTGCCACTTTGCACGTGGCTTTTCACAGGGGGGAGATCTTCTGAGCCACCACTTTGACACACTTTTCCCAAGGATGTGAATGGAAAGACACAAGAGAAATGTGCCTTAAAGCTGTCGTTTTGAATAAGCACGTCATTGCTTACGTCAGCCTCATGGGGGATTTATTGACAGTTGGGCAGATCACAGTTAAACTGTGGTTGGTGTTTTTCTTTTTTTTTTTTGTTTGTTTGTCTTTTCTTTAGATTCCGCCCCCAAAAAAAATCTTGTCATTTAAAAGCAAACAGAAAACACTTGGAATTCCTGCAGTTATATGAGCAAAACCGCGGACGACTGGTCGAATTTCTGCTGCCGCTGAATAATGTCCTCCTTACATGTAATTAACCATAATTAATGGAACGACTTCAAAGATGCATTTGCTAAATATATCGGTCCTCTTGTCTCGTGACTCTGTTCTACTGTGTAGGACAATATGTTGAAACCACCAAAAACCCGCATATATATATATTTTCCCACTGCGAAGGTTCAGGAGGAAAGACTGAAACGACGTTTCAATCATGCAGTTTCAGTTTACTTCAACACCGTGGTTCTTAATTTATTTTTCTGTCTAAATATTAAACCATGAACCTGTTACGCACAGGTGGGTTTGGGAAGGGAGGAAAGCACTTTTGTCAAATCCCCACCAAACACTGCGGAGCACAATTTAATCCACAGCCAATATAGTAATTACATTTTTTTTTTTTTTTTTTTTGCGCTGTCATTATCATTATTAGATCAAAGCTCCAGGCTGGGGAAACATCAATATTTGGAGGAGCTGGGAAGCATTAGTCTCAGATGGACACAGGGCTTTCCCTTGGCTTCAGACCGCATCAATAACCACTGTAGTGTTTCTTCTACTCTGCTCTGAACCTGCTTTGTGTGCCGGGCGTAGGTCAGTGAAATTATATCCGCTCCAAAAGTGGGCTACAGCCGTCAATGTGAGCTGTCCATTACTCTGAGCCTGTGGGATAAAGTTAGACGGTGCTTGACGGCGCGGAGATGCTATCTTCTTCTAGCTGCGAGAGCTGCGGCTAACGATTGTTTTTAATGTGGGATAATGCGGAAATTTATCTCCATGTTGACAGATGATGAAGTTATGTTTTATTTTAAGGAACACAAGACAATTAGTCAAAACTAACTTTAAAAAAAGAGAAACTTTTTAGTTAATAAAGTTCAGGTAGTTAGCTAACAATTTAGTTTTAGGTTATATTTTTCTGTTTCTATAACTAATGTTTTCCTTCTTCTTTTAGGACTTGGTTACTACTTCAAATTTATTTTCAGTTTTTTTTTTTGTTTTGTTTTTTTGTTTTTTAAAGCATCAAAACATTTCTATTGTTGAGGCAGGAGGCAGTTAGCTATAAATTTAGCTTTAGGTTATATTTTTCTGTTTCTATAACTAATGTTTTCCTTCTTCTTTTAGGACTTGGTTACTACTTCAAATTTATTTTCATGTTGTTGTTTTTTTTTTTTTAAAGCATCAAAATATTTTTATTGTTGAGGCAGGAGGTAGTTAGCTATAAATTTAGCTTTAGGTTAAAAGCATTGAAACATTTCTATTGTTGAGGCAGGAGGCAGTTAGCTATAAATTTAGCTTTAGGTTATATTTTTCTGTTTCTATAACTAATGTTTTCCTTCTTCTTTTAGGACTTGGTTACTACTTCAAATTTATTTTCATGTTTTTTTTTTTGTTTGTTTGTTTGTTTTGTTTTGTTGTTTGTTTTTTTGTTTGTTTTTTTAAAGCATCGAAACATTCTTCCTGTTGAGGCAGCAGCAGTTACAGTTACACTCCCGGAGTGCGTAAATACCCCCGGCGCTTCTCTACACTCACCTGCGTTCCTGAGCTTCTTATTGCGGTACACGGAGAAGATGACCAGCAGGTTGCCCAGGATGTCGACCACGATGGTGAAAATGAGGAAGCAGCCCAAAGTTGTGGTGACCCACGGCGGGCGGCTCAAGACGGTATCATTAAAGTCCAACGAGGTGTTGTTCAGGTGAGAACCATTTGTGACCATTGTACAGGCTACACACTACAGGCTGGACGCGCCACGGCTCCTCAAGAGTCTCAGCACATGGAATCCAGAGACGCCGGTGCCAGTGTTGGTGGTGGGATTCCACAGCTTTGCAGCTCCATCGTTCTCCACATGTTCTTGTTTGATCTCCGTCTACTTCTCCCTTCACTACTACTACTTCTTCCTTCTCCTTCCCTTTCCCAGTTGCGGTGGATAAGCTCAGGTTCTCCCCTCTGTCCTCTCTCACTCCTGCGCCCGTGTGCCATCCACTTCGCATGTGTGACATGAAGCTGCAACTTCAAACCTTCCACGCACCATGTGATCAAAACAGTCCGGGGGAAATGAGCGACCCCCCCTCCTCCTTTTTAAAGGGATAAATACCGACACTTGGTGGTAGATAGTGGGAACTGCAGCAACAGCTCCACCGGCTGGAGGTTGTCCTACTTCTTTCCCCATTTAGCCGATGTGTGTTCATTCATGGATTCACGGTCTCTTTCTTTGCCCCATATACATCCATTCAGATTTATATTGAAGAATCATTCAGTTTTTTGTCACCAGGAAAAAAAATTTTTTTTAAATATAATTTACACTTATTTACTTCCCTGGCACTGTAATTGTAATGTTATTGTTACACTTTAGCCTGACATTGATTATTCTATTGGCTATTTCAAACAAAGTGTTTTTTCCGACTGTTTTTTTTATAGCTTAATCATAAAAACTGTGCTTGTGTTGGTAGTGCATTGTCATAATTTCCATGATGGGAACGTCTGCACAGTTATTTGTTATGGATAACAGCATCACAATAAATAGGTCACAGCCTTCCCCTCCTCCCTTTTATGCAAACGCGCAGCTTATTCAGCCTATTCATTCAGATTTCTGATCTTGATATCGAGGAGATATATATATATATATATATACCATGAAATGGTAAAATCGCAAAGTAGAGTCAAGCTAGTTATTATATTATTTACGTATATATTTACTCTTTACGAACCTCCCCCACACTATTATTACCCTTTCCCCACACAATTATCTGCACACTAGAGTAGCATAATGGAGACAGAAGACATACTGTACATATTCGATACATGAAATACACGACCAATTCAATGTATATGCACAAGAAAAGGTAAATGTAGTTTGAAATTATGAATAAAAAAACCAGATATGATGCAGAGAGTTGATATTCAGGATACAGGCAAACACTCGCTCAAAACACATCACAGCAACAACTCCAAAAATTCGGTGTCCCATCAACAACAAAAATAGCAACAACAACAACAGTACCCTGTATGTATGTGTTGCAAAATGTCTTTTTGTTTATTTATATACTGTTTTTTCCCATTTAAGGCTAGAAAATATTTTTTTACAAAAAATAAAAATATTGGAAATTTAGATTTTTTTTTATATACCGTGAAATATCATAATATAGGGGGAGCGAAAGGAGAACCGTGATATAGAGAGGGAACACTCTATACATATATAAGCACATACATAAACACATTAATACATTCATACATACCTTATTTTCCAGACTGTAAGTCGCTCCGGAGTATAAGTCGCACCCTTGCCCTCTAGCGACGTTCAGTGTGAGAATAACGAACGTGGAAATTTTCAGTGGTACAGGAGTAGCAGATACTGGCACCGGGCCTAGAGAAAGAAAGAAAGAAAGAAAGAAAGAAAGAAAGAAAGAAAGAAAGAAAGAAAGAAAGAAAGAAAGAAAGAAAGAAAGAAAGAAAGAAAGAAAGAAAGAAAGAAAGAAAGAAAGAAAGAAAGAAAGAAAGAAGGAAAGAAAGAAATAAAGAAAGAAGGAAAGAAAGAAAGAAAGAAGGAAAGAAAAAAGAAAGAAAAAAGAAAGAAAGAAGAGGAAGGACAGACAATTGCAAGGACAAAACAAAAGCAAATAAAATTTTTTGACTTAGTTCTCTGTACCCTAAGTCAGAGTAACTCTAATATTCTAAATGTTCTCATAAATATTCTGAACTTTTCACCTTCACATTAAATGATTTGTGTCAAAAGTCCATTTAAATAAACTATCCGTCCTTCATCGACCTAAGTCGTTATTCTGAAGTAATCAAGAACGGGGACATTTGTTCCGCTGTAGATCGACAGCTTGTAGCGTCTGTTTGGATTGAAAGCAAAAGTAGGTCACACAGTGATGTCAATAGGAAAAAAAAAAAAACAAGAGGATTTTGTCCCACACAGACAGATTTGTCCTACTTATCCCAGCTGTTTGTGAACACGGCCTATATATTACAAAGCGCAACGATGAGGCAGACTGTCACGTCCAGGTCAGACTTGTTAACGACATTTAATGCACGACGTGGTCCAGAGACACTTTTTGCTATGACAGACTGATTGTTGCGTTACTCGTCGTGTGTCATAGCAAGGAATGGTCAAACTCCGAAAAGCTGAAAAGACAAAGTCTACAGTAGTTCTTCTTTCTATGAGTTAGAGCAAAGTCTCTTTGCGCAAAAGCAAGTCTTGGCTGCATACAGCGCAGACCAGGAACTCCCCCGCGACATCCCCTTCACACCAGTTGGTCCTAATAGAGAACATTCACTCTCTTCTTGCCCCGTTTGGGCAGCTAACTAAAGAGATCAGCTCCTCTGATGCATCTGTAGCAGATGTCCATCCATCCATCCATTTTCATCCGCTTGGCCGTTACCAGGTCACGGGGGCAGCAGTCGCCACCCAAATCACATTGCACCATACCAACCCCCCCAAACCTTCCTGCGGGTGGTGAGTCCACTGGAAGGTATTAACCGCCCTAACCGGGATTCGATCTTGCCCAGGAGGTGAACCCTGGGGTTCTACACCAATGACAGAGACATTGCCTCTGGGCCAAAGCGCCACTTGTAGCAGATGTTATAACTCTAAACTCACTTAAAGCATCTTCTAAGGAAAGAGGTTGAGACGGACCACGGAGTGAAAATAATTAAATGTACACTCATGGAGTGTCTGTCAGCACACGTTTCACTAGAGATCTATTTGGATCCCCTGCAACTGTATTTGTATCTGTGTTATAAAGATCATTACTTGAATGCGGGAATAAAGCAGCGCATACGAGAAATGATCCAGCGGTTGACTTAAATGCACTTTGTGTTTTTATGAGAGAACATATTTATTTTTACACAACTTTCAGAATGCCAGTAGGCCTGTACATTATCATTTAATGTCATTTAACTTATGTGTAATAAGTGGGGTCAAGTTTAACATTTCATTTGGAATTTTATTTTATATTGTGCATTGTTGGTGGCGCTTTGGCCCAGAGGCAATGTCTCTGTCATTGGTGTGGAACCCCAGGGTTCACCTCCTGGGCAAGTTCGAATCTCGGGTAGGGCGGTTGGTACCTTCCAGTGGACTCACCACCCGCAGGAAGGTTGGTACGGTGCAATGTGATTTGGGTGGCGACTGCTGCCCCCGCGACCCGGTAACGGATAAGCGGATGAAAATGGATGGATGGATGTGCATTGTTGGAATGAGCCAAATAAATATTTTCATAATTTTGTAATACTTTTATTCTTTGAAACATGAATATTAATTCATTCAATATCCTTGATTTTATTGAGGTTTTAGTTCACAGTCATAGCCATAAATGCAATGATATTCATTATTGGCATAATGATTTCTTTCGGTGTTTCGGTTTCGGTCAACAACAATTTTAATTTCGTCGCACCCCTATGTATATATCTTCCATTAAAAGGCACGCAACATGTCCGTATTGCACTTTCTACCGCTAAAGGGACAGAGAAGGAGGAGGAAGTGGCTAACAAGTGGACTGGAAAAAGAAGAGGAAAAGAAGTGTGAAGTATTGTGGGGGTGGGGTAATCCACAACAGTGTGCAAGTGCCTACTACTCACTCACACACACACACACACTGTTTGCCTTCCTCTGCTGTTATTACCTCCACCTCATCTTTCTCATCATCGTCCTCCTCCTCCTTCATCTCCACCACTGGGAGGGTTGCTATGACAACAGCACAGCTCCACCCAGAAATGAGCTGTGTATGCTGGGAAAGAGAGGATTATTGGGGTCAGTGTTCTTTGCACGCCTGTGGAAGGATGTCTTTCTCTCTCTCTCTCTCTCTCTCTCTCTCTCTCTCTCTCTCTCGCTCTCTCACACACAGCTTGTGATTAAATACAGTGTAAAAACAAAACACTGGTTAGTTGATATAAATAGAGAGTATGTTTAATTAATTAATTAACCCACTCTGGGGTTAAAATGTTGATTAGGACTCGTTTAACTTTGCCACATTTTTGACTTTAAAACGCCGCGATGATTTCGATGATTTAACGTTGCACTTCCAGCGAGTTCAGAATTAGCATGAGTAAATTAAAATACCGTCTTACATTGATTTACGACATCATTTTCATGTAAAAAAACAAACAAACGAAAAACGTCGGATTCTAATGTCTGCCTTCAACTCCGGGAGTACACGCAGTGGTCTTTCTTCTTCGGCAAGAACCTCAGATATGAAAACCTCGCGTCTGTGATGTTCTGCCTTCAGGACGACACCCAGTTCTTCCTCGGTCTTAATGAGCTGATGTATGCAGCCCTGCTGTATGTGAAGGTACACGGTGTACTGTGTGACCTGACTGTTCGTGTACAAGGTTGATCGATGCGAAATATTAGCCGTAAGGTACTGAGAAAATACTGTGCAGGTTTGAAAGTGGTCGTCCAAATCGAGAGAAAAGAAAAGGTGGTAGCCTGGTTCTATTCCATCTGTATACCAATGTATGTGTCCATGGGCGATACTCTTAATACAGTACTTCTCAAATAGTGGGGTGGGCCGCCCTGGACATAAGTGGTACCACTGCTGTATTGCTTGAATAACAACAAGCCTCCAGTCACTAGGTGGCAGCAACTCATGCAGTGGTTTGTATAGATAAAAATATACATGTTCTCAGGTTCTCAATAGTGTTTCAATTCGTGGGGGTGTGAATCGGAGGGGGGCGGGCGTGAAAACATTTCTGTCCCCATGGGGGGGGCATGACTGAAATTAATAATCTTGATTGTTTGTATACGTACGGGATACGTTTTGTATTCGTTTTGGATGACCTTTTTGAAACAAGTCTTACCTCTGGATTCAAACCCAGAACCCTTGCCGTTCAAATCCCAGAGTAATGTGGAGGGCATCATCCCAAGGGGTGTTGTTCACCAGTATGGTGCCAGTAGACTGAGGATGAAGAGGGCAGGGGAAGGTGAGGAAGAGAAGCAGTAAGGAGAAGACGAAGAAGGAGATAAAGAAGATGTCGTTACGTCCGGACATAGAAGGAACCAGGCGGGACTCAAACTCAGCACGACGGCGACTCTATTCGGGTGCGGCAGGTTTATTTACAATGGGCAAACACAACGACACTTACTTTTTTTTCACCAGGCATGAACTCCAAACTCCAGAACATCGACTCCAAAACGTGGCACAACGCACAGGAACTGAACTGCAACCGGACCTCAAACAAACAGAATAATGATCCCACAAAGACAGGTATATATACCCGGGGCACCAGGTGACACGAGTGAGACCAATCACAGAGACACAGGTGAGTGTGATCACACTAACACCACCCAGCAGACAAGACGGGGAAAGGAAAAACAGACAGCGCTAACAGATGTAGTAGAAACAAGGGAGAAACATGGAGAAGACAAAATAAGAAACATTAGAAAAATGTTTACTGTTTCTGGAGCTGAGGTTGGACTGGCATCACCGCAGCGACAACACGCAGGTCCTTCACTGTACAAAGGCAAGCCAAGCATAGCTGCTAATGCTAACATTAGCTTGCCGCTAACAGAATAAACAGGACCTTAACACAGGGAGTTAAACAGAGTTAAACTCGGAGCGTTAAATACGGGGAGTTAAACCGAGAGTTAAACACGGGGAGTTAAACAGAGAGTTAAACACAGGGAGTTAAACACAGGGAGTTAATCAGAGAGTTAAACAGAGAGCATTAAACACAGGGAGTTAAACAGAGAGTTAAACAGAGAGCATTAAACAAAAGGGGAGTTAAACAGAGAGTTAAACAGAGGGCATTAAACAACGGGGAGTTAAACAGAGAGTTAAACAGAGGGCATTAAACAACGGGGAGTTAAACAGAGAGTTAAACACAGGGAGTTAAACAGAGAGTTAAACAGAGAGTTAAACAGAGAGCATTAAACAAAGGGGAGTTAAACAGAGAGTTAAAAACAGGGAGTTAAACAGAGAGTTAAACACAGGGAGTTAAACAGAGAGTTAAACAGAGAGCATTAAACAAAAGGGGAGTTAAACAGAGAGTTAAACACAGGGAGTTAAACAGAGTTAAACACGGAGCGTTAAACACAGGGAGTTAAACACGGAGCGTTAAACACAGAGAGTTAAACACAGCGAGTCAAACCCACAAAGTTAAAAAAGAAAAAGAAGAATGAGACGATAAGGGTGCAGAAGAAAAACGAGAGTTGAAGAGCGTGGATGAAAGAGGAAAAGAAAAAGAAAAAATAAAGAATAGGAACAATAACGGAAAGAAAAAGAAAATAAGGAAGAAAAACAAGAAGAAAGAAGAAAAAAATAAAGAAACGAGGAGAAAGAGAAGATCAAAACGTAGAAGAAAAAAAAAGAAGGATGATGTTATCACAGAGCTCCATGTCTGGAGGTCAGAGTAGTCGGAGTTTATCTATAGAAGCAAAGCTGTGGTCATTATTGTTTTTTTGCCCCCGTTTTATTTTTTTAATTCTCACAGAATTCTGCTCTGCTCCTCACTCAGTCTCACTTGGTGATCACGGTTGAGATGTAAACACCCCTCGCTGTGAATCAAAGATTCGACGGCGAACACTGTGAATGTGAATTGTTAATGAGGGCTGTGTGTTACGTA